ATCCACCATAACCTCTAATAACTTATATCCACTTCTAGTTGAATAGGATCCATTTGGTGTGAAACCCCATCTGATAGAATCCTCACATACCAGCGATGGTTTCAAAAGAAGTATTCTTTGGGCATCCTGAGGTGTAAAAGTCTGATGTACTAAATTAATATCCCATTGGTTAGACCCTGGCCTGAGCAGATCAGAAGCTTTAAGCGCTAAATTTATTGAACTATTTTCACGATACATTGGTGGCCGTGGGATAGGGTCAATAATCCAATTCTCAGCCCAAACATTAGTGTCAGTCTCATTACCAATATGTCGATATAAACCTTTTTTTAGTAATTCTCTACCGTGCATGATGCTCCTCCATGCATATGACGGACGTGTTCCCATTCCACAATCTAGGAAATTTCCATTTTTAAAATATTTGCCTTTAAGGATTCGAGAAACCAAGGAGTCAGGATTATTCCATATTCTCCAAGCTTGTTTCCCGAGCAAAGCCTGATTGAAACGACCAATATCCTGAAACCCAAGACCACCCTGTTCTTTTGGTTTACATAACTTTTCCCAAGAAACCCATGGGATTTTTCTTTTTTTATCTCCACTACTCCACCAAAACTCTATAATCGCACTCGTAATTCGTTCACATAGACCTTTTGGTAACCTAAAGACAGACATTGCATATATTGGTAGAGCTAAAGCCACTGATTTTATTAGCACTTCCTTGGCACCCATAGATAAAGTTTTAGAATACCATCCCTGTAGCCGTCCTTCTAATTTATCCTTGATAAAATTTAGGAGCGCTTTTTTTGAACCTTGAAAACATTCAGGGAGACCAAGATATGACCTTCACCACCTTCTTTCTCTATACCCAAAACCGCTTTGATCATCTGTTTATTCACATTGTCTATTTTTTTTCCAAAAATGATGGAAGATTTCAAAGGATTTATAATTTGGCCCGACGCATCTCCATAACATTTTAGTCCTCTCAAAATTTCTTCACTATCATTGACAGAGGCTTCACACAACAATAGACTATCATCTGCAAACAACAAATGATGAACAGATGGACTACCCGTTGCTAACTTTATCCCATGTAATTTCCCTTGTGCTTCAGATCTATTTAAAACATGAACTAGGGCTTCGGCACATAAAATAAATACAAAAGGGGATAAAGGATCCCCCTGACGAATTCCTCTTTCCGGTTTAATAAACCCATGGGATCGTCCATTAAGTAACACCGAGAAAGTGACAGTAGTAATGCAGGACATTATCCAAACAACCCATTTCCGGTGGAATCCCATTTTTTCTAATAAAACTTCCATAAAGTTCCATTCTACCCGATCGTAGGCCTTGGACATGTCAGTCTTAATCGCCATACATTCTTTACCAATTTTATCATTAGTCCGGAGTGCATGTACCAGTTCATGTGCTATAATGACATTGTCCGTTATTAACCTACCTCCCACAAAGGCCCCTTGAGTTTCAGAGATTATATGTGGTAAAACCGTCTTCATACGCTTACACAGAATACGAGAAATGATTTTATATTGTACACTACACAGACTTATTGGACGCATATCCTTCATTTCTGTAGGGCTTACAGTTTTAGGCAACAGAGATAACTGTGTATGGTTCCACCCAGCAGGAAGGATAGCTGTTTTAAAAAAACTTTGAACATCCTGAATAATTTTCTGTCCAACAACGTGCCAGTATTTTTGATAAAAAAAACCCCGTAAGTCCATCTTCTCCAGGAGCACTACTACTTTTGATACCAAAAACAGCATCCTTGATTTCCTCAGGAGAAACCTCCCCGATTAATAACGTGTTCATCTCTGAGGTAACCCTGCTTTCAAATCCTTCAAACAGTGTTTCCAAATCATTTGGGTTTGAACTTGTAAACAACTCCCTGAAATATTCAGTAGCAATGTGTCCTTTGGAACCTTCAGAATAATGTTCCTTACCAAATATATCTTTTAACAACTCCCTGAAAGAAAGTGTCTTAGAAAGTAAAAAAAAATCTTGTATTTATTGTGTGTTAGTTGTAGTGTTTATTGAGCTTCATTTTGGCTAGTTTATTATACTAAATAACGAATAACCTCTTCTTTTGGCTAGTTGATGAATACAAACTTTGTTAAACACTGAAAATTATAATGGCCTATTAGCTCAGTTGGTTAGAGCGTCGTGTTAATAACGCGAAGGTCACAGTTTCGATCCCTCTATAGGCCATATAATTTTGATACAGTAACTTACCTTCACCTACGTATGTCAATACAACTTACATTGAACCCATGTTGGACCGTTTTTAGTATATAGAATCATTGAACCCATGTCCACCTACGTATCTCATTACTCAAAAATCAAGGGAGAAAACTTGACACCAAAGGTTGAACAACAAAACTTGTATAGACATAGTAACTGTATAGGCCATATAATTTTGATACAGTAACTTACCTTCACCTACGTATGTCAATACAACTTACATTGAACCCATGTTGGACCGTTTTAGTATATAGAATCATTGAACCCATGTCTACCTACGTATCTCATTACTCAAAAATCAAGGGAGAAAACTTGACACCAAAGGTTGAATAACAAAACTTGTATAGACATAGTAAGTTAGTTTCTTTTTTAACTGAAGCTGAAAATATCACTGAAACAACTGCTTCATCAGAGGAATAATAGTGGATTGAGATTCTCTGCGGGACAAGAACACATTAAGCTACTCTCTCTCTCTACAGTGGAAAGTGCGCTATGGATTAATATTTCAGAAGAATAGTGGATTGGAAGGTAGACTAAATCAATGTCAAGAAAGTTATGAATGAGGTGTGATTGACTGTTGAATGTTGATACTATGGTGCAGGGGATACAAATGGTCGTTTTCCAAGGAGAGTCTCTGTTACATGAAAAGGTCTTTGATTTGTTCATAACTAATTTTATATTCTCCATAGAAGTACCTAATGTTATGATTAGTTGTTATGAATAACTGTGTTACTTGCTCTGAAATTAATAAGAAAAAACGTTTTAAGAAATAAAGTATACAGCTTGCTTTCATTTACTACTCGATACTGATCATACAATGCTATGTACAACAAACTAAATAGCAAAGAAATAGAAAAGTACAACATATCCAACTGTTTTGCTCTTACACAAACCCACCACAGCTCCCAATATTTGGCCATATCCAACTGACTCTACTCAAGTACAGATTCCCAAGGCCGGCAAAATTGCTGACTTGTTGACCTTAATTAGAGACGGTTTCCAAGCTTTTACATTGTATCTTCTTTCCGTTGTTGTTATTGTCGTTGTTAGTGCACTCCACACGCAGAGTGGTGGTTTAAGGGGCTTGTTAATGCTCAGCGATACAGGAGTCATATGCCTTGATATCCACGACTTCAAGGATGCGAGAAAAGGCGTAACCATAAACAACTTGAGACCAGCGAATCCACGTTCAAGCCCATCAAGCCGATGCCATGCGATTTGACTGATCTCCTTCTTCGTTTGCGGTGCAAAAGCTGTATCATCTCTCACCCCAACCACAATGTAAAGCCTCACTCTTTNGGACCTCGCGTATAGCACAAACATCATCTTCTTCATTCGTGTTCTTCTTCCCACGTGGAAAGCTCCAGCTCGATGATTGTTTCCATCCCTTGACCAGCAAGCAACGCTCGTATGTCTCGTCCAAGATAATCGCACCAGCGACGGGGACTCGAGACTTGTAAGCACCAAAGTCTCTGAATATCCTATCCATGTTTGCAACGTGAGGTCTCAACAGATCGGAGTTGTTGAATAGGAGACAAGTAAACTCTCTAAAGGACAGCGACTTTAGGGTTTTGTCGTTTTCGACAACGGTATCTTCGTAATACCAGTGAGCACTCTCTACAAGAAACATGAGTCGATTGAAAGACTGTTTATCTTCCTCGGGGCCGTTCACAACAAATCGAGTGTAAAGATCATCAAGAAGTTTCTTCGTCGGGAGGCTCGACATATTACTTTTCTTGTGTAACTCTAAAATCACTCGTGGGATCTTTTTTTGTTGTTGTTGTTGTGTGCGATAACGAGTGCTCTTTGGATGTATATTTATAACTCGTTTGACCGTTAGTATCTGATATTGTTTAGAAAATCATTTTTTCCTTTTTACGAGTCTTATTTCCTTTTAAGAAAAAGGATATTTGAGAAAATCCAAGATTTCCACGCACGTGCCAGATTGAGCCCTAGATTCTTCACTACACCAATCTGACGGCGAGAAGAAAAACGACGGCCCAATAATATATTGACAAGATAAATAGAATTCTTGTTTCAAATCGACGGATCGTTTCCAACAATGCCGTTGTTGTTTTCTGATCTCTCTCTTCTCAACGGCCATTTTTTATGTGATTTCTTTGAAGATTTTGTTGTTGTCAAATCTGTGTTTATGTATATGGCTTTGATTGTATGTGTTATTAAGCATCCATATCTAGACGGGTTTGTGTTGTGCGTATAGGTATGGTAGCAGAATGGACAGGACAACGCACTGTACCTAATGTGTTTATAGGATGAAATAACATCGGTGCCTACATTGGCTGTGCATTGTAAGAGAACTAGAGGTCTTAGGCAAACTGAAAGATGCAAAATTAGGTTAGGAAGATTGAAATTCATGGCTAGACAAGTGCAAAATAGACGCTTTGGAGATTGATTTGAGCGTAACACTTGACAGAGTAAAAGAGGTGGTCTCAACCATTCTTATCTAATAAACCCATCATCAAAAGGACTAACCATATGCATTAATTATCATGTACAAGAATTAAACCTTTCCTTCTAAAGGAAAGGCGAAGTAAAAACTAAACAGCAAATAAATAATTAACATATCCAAATATTTTGCTCTACACAAACCCACCAATCCAACGGCATCATAGCTCCCAATATTTAGTCAAGCTGACGAACATGTTTCCTTGGTCGGCAAGAGTGTTAATATGTTGAAACTTGGGAGACTGTTTCAAGGTGTATTTTTTCTATATACTGAAGCTAATTCATTCCGTTTTTGTTGTCTTTGCATTCCACATGCAGATTGATTTAAGGGGCTTGTCAGGTCTCCGTGCAACAGAAGACGGATGCTTTGATATCCATGACTTCAACGATGCAAGAAAAGGTGCCACCATGTACAACTTGAGACCATTCACTCTTCCATCATCAAGCCGATCAAGCGGATGCCATGCGATTTGGCTGATTTCCTTCATAGTCAGTGGTGCAAAAGCTGTATCTTCTTTCACACCAGCGACAATGTAAAGCCGCACTCTTTGCTCTCCTCTGAATGTAAACTCAATATATTCATCTTTCTTAAGCAGCTTCGAGACATCAAAGCCTATCTCCTCTAAGACCTCGCGTATAGCACAAGCATGGTCTTCTTCATCCTTACTCTTCTTTCCACGTGGAAAGCTCCAAGTTGATGATTTTTTCCATCCCTTAACCAACAAGCAACGTTCATATGTCTCGTCCAAAATAATCGCACCAGCTACCGGAACTTGACTCTTGTAAGAACTGAAGTCTCTGAATATGTCATCGATATGTGCAAGGTAAGGTCTCAACACATCACAGTTTTTGAATAGGAGACAAGTAAACCCTTTAAAGGACAGCGACTTTAGCTTTGGATCGTTCTCTACAACGTTATCTTCGTAGTACCAATAAGCACTCTCCACAAGAAACAAAATCCTCTCGAATGACTTTTGATCTTCTTCGGGGGCATTCAGAACAAATCGAATGCAGATATCTTCAAGAAGCTCCTTCGATGGGTGGCACTTTTTGATCTTCTTACACATGGTTTTCTTCTTCTCTCCTAGTTAAAATCTTATTAAGCAATGGCGTCTAGGAAAGTATATATATATATATATATATGACACTCTGGATGTATATACGTTTTGTCTTCTTTATATAAATACCAACTATTTGAGTTTGTTTTTCCTTATATGAAAAGGATAATCGCGAAATTCAGGTATTTATTTATCTTCCTATATAGAAGTCACTCATAAGAAAATTCTACAATCTATACTATTATTTGAGAAGTAAATTTGCTTAGTTGTTATGTTCTCCATAAATTTAGGTAATTTTATTTATTTATCATATTTTTAATAGTTATATATATCTATACTATTATTTGAGAAGTAAATTTGCTTAGTTGTTATGTTCTCCATAAATTTAGGTAATTTTATTTATTTATCATATTTTTAATAGTTATATATATATCTATACTATTATTTAAGAAGTAAATTTTCTTAGTTGTCATGTTCTCCATAGGTTTAAGTAATTTTATTTATTTATCATATTTTTAATAGTTATATATATCTTATCTATACTATTATTTGTGAAGTAAATTTGCTTAGTTGTCATGTTCTCCATAAATTTAGGTAATTTTATTTATTTATCATATTTTTAATAGTTATATATCTATACTATTATTTAAGAAGTAAATTTTCTTAGTTGTCATATTCTCCATAGGTTTAGGTAATTTTATTTATTTATCATATTTTTAATAGTTATATATATCTTATTTATAAATAACACGAATATTCTATACTATTATTTAAGAAGCAAATTTGCTTAGTTGTCATGTTCTCCATAAATTTAGGTAATTTTCTTTATTTATCATATTTTTAATAGTTATATATCTATACTATTATTTAAGAAGTAAATTTTCTTAGTTGTCATGTTCTCCATAGGTTTAGGTAATTTTATTTATTTATCATATTTTTAATAGTTATATATATCTTATTTATAAATAAAACGAATCTTCTATACTATTATTTAAGAAGCAAAATTGCTTAGTTGTTATGTTCTCCACAAGTTTAGGTAATTTTATTTATTTATCATATTTTTAATATTTATATATATATATATATTATTTATAAATAAAACGAATTTATATGAATTATCTTATTTCTATAAATTTGCTTAGTTGTCATGTTCTCTATAAGTTTAGGTAATTTTATTGATTTATCAAATTTTTAATATTTCTATATATTTTATATATAAATAAAACAAATTATAAAAATATATCATATTTTTAGAAAATAAGATAATTCTTGTGAATTATGTTGTTATTGAATTATGTTATTATCTTGAAATATATTTTCATTTATAAAACTGAAATTTTAAATTAAGATATAAAGACTTTTATACTTATCTTAAACGAATTTCTATTAATAATTGAATATTTAAATATAAATAAACCGAATTTATGTTAATAATTTGATATTTTCTAAATAAGATAATTATTATGTATGATGATGTTATGTTGAAAATATATTTTCCTATTATAAAACTTAAAAGTAAGATATAAAAATTATATTATTAATAATTAAATATAAATAATCAAAACAATTATTTGAAAGTGAATTTGAGATTTGTCTCCATGATCCTAGGTAATTTTGATCATTTATCAGAATTTATATAATTTTGTTTATTATTGATTATATAATTAAAATAATTTGTATTAATAATATGATATTTTAGAAAATAAGTTAATTATTATGTATTATTAATGTAAGTTTATTTCAATTATAAAATAACTACAACTTTTTATATCTAAATTTTAAATTTCTAATAGAAAAATATATTTTCAAGAGAACAACTTAATACATAAGAAATATCTTATTTTCTAAGAATATGATGCTATTAATATAAATTTGTTTTAAAAATATAATAAATTATATATAAAATTAGAGAAATTAGGATAAAATATCAAAAATTCCCTAAAATCATGGAAAATATGACAAATCAACAAGCA